TAATTAATTGTATAATTTAAATTCTACAATATCACCACTTTTTTGTCTTTGAACTTTATTCAACTATTAGCATCTATTAACAAATAAACAACATTCCAAATACAGTCTATTTTACTCAAAACTGTTTTTTTACCAGGCAAAATGAAATGAAAACCATTCTCCAGGAGAGCCGACAGTTGCTCTCGCTCCACTCCTCTCGAGTCTCGACTCTCCAATTTTTTCGAGTCCGGCCTCGCTCTTGACAAACGCTTTTTTTTATTCGAGGGTTTTGAAAAAGAACTCTTCAACACCACTCTCGAGGGTTCGAGAATCCCCAAGTTACACCTTTCTCGGCCTTTTGGCTAAGATCAAGTGTAGTATCTGTTCTGATCAGTTTAATATCTGATCCGTGGTCCATCGGGCCACATAAAAAAAAAAAAAAAAAAAAAAGAATCCCCAAGTCCGCCAACTCTCGAGGCAGGCCCGCCGTGCCCTTCAGACGGGCTCGTTCTTTTCTCAAACGGCCTCGTTTTTTTTCAAGAGTACACCTCGAGTCTGGGTGGACACACAAGACGGCTGTCGGGTAATACTTTCGATGTCCGACGGTCCCGCCTTCCATAGTAAGAGGAGCGAGTTGTGCAGCGAGACCCGGTTTCGTGCACAGGCTCCACCAGCCCATGTTTGCACTGCCACGTGGCACGACTACAGTCTTCCCCCGAATACAACGCACGGTCATTATAGCCGAATTTGGTGGATCTTTCAGTCTAAATTCAGCTATAATGACGGTACGTTGTATTCGGGGGAAGACTGTAATCCCTCAAGCCATCTCCCTCGTTTTTTCTTTCTACTTCTTTTTCGTTTCTTGCTCTGCCGCCTCCAACCCCGATCCCAACATGCCTGTTCCTCTATCGTGACCATGGGCCTCGCTCCATCACTCACCAAATGTGCAAAATGATGAGAGTGCATCTTCCAGTTAAACATGGCCAGATGCACCGCCATAGTTTTTTGTCTGTGTTATGCATGTGGTGAGTGGTGGAGCTACCGTCTTCCCCCGAATACAACGTACGGTCATTATAGCTGTATTTAGACTGAAAGATACCCCAAATTCAACTATAATGACCGTGCGTTGTATTCGGGGGAAGACTGTAGGCCCTATCTCTGGCATGAGTTGGCAATCCAGGACAAACGTAAGAACCAGGTTCCAGATCAGTCTTAAACCCCGTCTCCATACTCCTGCACCATATGGCACGACGCAACCGTGTTTCTGAACCCTTCTCCATAGCCTTCTTTCCTTCCGTCTTCTACGACTATTATTACTCCGTTTTCTTCTTCTCCTCACCCCCCCCCCCCCCCCCCCCCCCCCACCGCCTTTGTCGATTCCATCATTCCTGCCAGGTCGCACGACAAGCATCCCGCGTATCAGTACTTTTCTTCTTCTCCTCCTCCTCCTCCTCCTCCTGCCCCTCTTGATTCACGTTCCGATGTGCCTTCCACGTGGTACGAGACTACCACAACCTTTCTTTTTTCCTTCCCTTCGTAGTCCGGTCTCGATTTGCCTGACACGCGGCACTCCTCCTCCTCCTCCTGTTGATTCACGTTCCGATGCGCCTTCCACGTATAAGTATGAGAATACCACAACCTTTCCTCTCTTCTTCTTTTCTTCCCTCCGGACTCCAGTCTTGACTTTGCCTGGTACGCGGCACGATCGCCTCCCTCCCTACTTCTTCCCACTCGTGCGAGTACTACAATTCCCGCCGTGCCCTCCCGTCGCATGACGCCCCCCCCATCATCGTCGTCCTCATCTTGTCCTAGCCACGCTCCTCTCTCTCTCTCTCTCTCTCTCTCTCTCTCTCTCTCTCTCTCTCTCTCTCTATATATATATATATATATATACTTCTTCCTCCTACGAGCACTACAATTCGTGCCGTGCTCTCCCGTCGCGTGACGCCCCCCCATCATTTGTCATCCTCATACTGCCCCCGCCCCCTCT